TACCAGATAAAATAAATCATTCTTTTTTCAAAAAAGTTATTGTGGGACCAGCAAATGATTATATCACTGGACTCCCATGTAGTTGACCACAGTTTGAGTCACAGCCCCAGCAGCTTAAAACTCATGCCAGGTACATGTGCATGCGTGTCTAAAATCCCAAGAGGAAAATGGAGGAGAAGGGGTTGCGGAATGACCATTCCCCTTAGGGGGTGATTTCTTGCTTTCTGTCTCTCTTGTGAGCCTACATGCTCTACAGCAAAAATCTCTCTTAAAAAAAGTTATTGTTTTATATCAATTTTAACATCCAAGGTATTTCTTGTTTTGGTTTGGGTGATTTCATATTTAAGAAAATCCTGGGACCAGCAAGTGGCATGGTGGCTAGGACGCTGGACACTCCCACATGGCTGACCATGGTTCGTGTCCCAGAGCTGGTGGCTTGCTTTCTCACGCTTTCTCTCTCTCTCTCTGCCTCTCTCTGGTCAAATTAAAATGAATGAATGAATGAATAAATAAGATTGAGTAAATAATTTTTTTTTTAAAAAAAGAAAATCCTGATTCATGCAGATGTGTTATTGTAACTTTGAGATAGTCTTACATTGATTTATATGTTTGAAAAGAAGAATATTTTTGTTTTAAAGTTGAATTACTAATTTACCTAGCCCACACTCCTATTCTTCATAAATATTAGTTGGATAAACCCAATGCATAGAAACAATTGGTAATGAGATGGTATGATATTGAGCACTGAGTCTTACCACCCAACCATGGTTTACCATGAATCCAACGTGGGTCCCCAAGCTTCTATGGCATGTAATTGAGAGATTTTTGCTATAGAGTGCGTGTGCTCGCTGGAGAGATAGAGAGAGACAGAAAGCCAGAAATCACCCTTCAAGGGGAGGTGGGCATGCCGCAATCCCTTCTCCATTTTCCTCTTGGGATTTTGGGCATGCATACACATGTACATGGCATGTGTTTTAAGTCACCGGGTCCAGGATTTGAACTACAGTTGACTACATGGGAGTCCAGTGATGCAGCCATCACGCCCTCTGCTGGTTACTTTATGGCATGTAATTGAACCTGCTTGCTGTATGTCCAGTTATGTGCTCACCTGTACAGCGTTATCAGAGGAGAGACACAAGGGCTTGAGTTAAAAAATAAGCCCATGCAGAGGCATCTGTATTTAATGGATGTGGAATGGCGCTACCTCCATTCTAATCAATTACACATTTTTCAGAAGTTTCAGTTCAGGCAGATTCTTTATTCCAAGGCTTGTTTACAATATAGTTTGCCTCGCAGTCCATGCGACCTCGCGAAGTGTCTAATGGAGGGAAATGGCGTCCTAGGTCTCTTGCTCATTTGAGTGGACATGTTATAGTTGTTTTAATTGAAATGTGATTCTCTGTTAACCCCAGAGTTTCTCCAAACACTGTGTCAAAGCTCTTGCTCACTAAAATGGACAATAATAGCTGCCTCATGACATGCTGTAAGGATGGAAATAGATATTGTGGTAAAGATACTTTTAGCACCTTGAAAGTTCTTAATAAAATGTATTAATATTAAGTGTTAAAGCGTTTTTGCTATAGGACATGTGCATTTGTCAGAGAGAGAGAAAGAGAGAGGGAAAGTGAGAAATCACCCCTCAAGGGAGATAGCCATGCCACAATTCCTTCTCTTCCAATTTCAGGATTTGGGCCACACACGTACATGGGCCTAGCATGATTTTCAGGCCACCAGATGCAGGACTCGAACTCCACAGTTGGCCATGTGGGGGTCCAGCGCCTTAATCCCCATGCCACTTGCTGGTCCCATTTTATTTTAAAATGCCACTTCCACCCATCCTTCTTATTAACCCATCTTTGTTTATTCACTCTTTCTTTGGAGGGAGGAGATAGGCATTCTGTGTTCTTTCCCATGGTGTCAGTTTGGTTTTGTCTCCCTTCCTAACTCCTGTGGTCTGTGGTGTGTATATGTGTGAGCTACTCAAATGCCCATATCACTGCCGACGTTCTCTTTTATTATAGGTCTTTCTCTGTCTCCCTACTACCCTGTGATGTTGGCACTTTTTTATCAGTGGAAATACCTTGTTCACTTAAAATACGGGTGTTTATAAATTTGTGGAAATGAATTGTAGCATCATGGTTATTTGTGTAAAGCACTGTAAGGAAAGAATAAATATAGACTACCAATCTATGTTCTCCCGTAAGAAACAGATTGAAACCAGTTGTATGCAGGTACTTCAAAACGTTTATGGAAAAATGAGATTAAAGTATGACTTTATTTTGCTACAAAAAAAGGTTTAAATCCTTGCATAATTCTTTTCCTAATTTGCATTTTCCAAGAGCTTTTTGACAGTCTTGTAAATTTAAGGTCTTAATGAGATCTGCCCTTTAAGAAGCAAATGTGAATGTCTGGTATGTCCCATGTTTACTGAGGACATAAATATCTTGGTGAGAGAAACCCCTTAATAAAAAAATGTAAATGAGATTTCTAAAGATTTTTGTAACTGATTTGAAATCAATTTACATGTTTGAAGGTTTTCTTGAAATAAAGACATCAAGTGCCATTGAATACATGCACTCAACTCTCTTACTTACCATTTTGAATTTGGAATTGTTTCCTGTTCATCTTTCCATTTTTTTAGATCCTAAATTTTGTTTTAAGAGTTTTTTTGCTATACGGCATTTGTGTTCACCAGAGAGACAGAGAGACAGAAAGCAAGAAATCACCCTCCAGGGGGTTTGGCCACACCTCAATTCCTTCTCCATTTTCCTCTCGAGATCTTGGGCACGCACACGCACGTGCCCAGTGTGAGTTTAAGCCACCAGGTCTGGGACTTGAACCGTGGTCAACTACATGGGAATCCAGTGACATAGCCATTTCTCTAACTGCTGGTCCCAATATTTTTTATTTCTATATCAAATTATTTAATTTACCTAGAAAGATAAGTGGACATAATGTTACCACAATAGCTGGCCCATACATGTCAGCAATTTGGCTACAGAAGTGATGCCTAGAGCAGGAAGTCAGGGGTAAGGTAGAAGTTTTAAACAGTTTTAATCTGGGTTCTAATATTCATTGGGTTGAAGGGACTTCTTGGATTTGCTTAGACAGATATTTGACGACATAGCCATTGCTCTAACTGCTGGTCCCAATATTTTTTATTTCTGTATCCAATTATTTAATTTACCTAGAAAGATAAGTGGACATAATGTTACCACAATAGCTGGCCCATACATGTCAGCAATTTGGCTACAGAAGTGATGCCTAGAGCAGGAAGTCAGGGGTAAGGTAGAAGTTTTAAACAGTTTTAATCTGGGTTCTAATATTCATTGGGTTGAAGGGACTTCTTGGATTTGCTTAGACAGATATTTGATTTTCTGGTTTGGTGTGTTCTGAAGTCCAAGTAGGTATGGTATGATTATTTGCTAATAGTTATTAATTACAGAATCGAAAAAGATCTTCTGTTGAACTCCATGTTTTACAAATCACAGGTGGCTGATCCTCAGCTCCTTTTTTTTTTTTTCTTTTCAAGTTTATTTCTTCTGAAAGAGAGAGAGAGATGTCCCCCCAGGGTCCTCATCTTGCTATCCACCCTGTCTCAGCCAGCTGGGATTACAAGCACACATGGCACGCCATGTGTGTTCAGAATGGACCAGGGATATGAACCAAGGATCTTTCATTTATGGGTCCAGTTGAGCTACCAGTGCACCACCACCTGGCCCCTCTCAACTCACTTTCTGTGCATTAAGAGTCTGATTGGAGGGAGGAGGAGAAGAAAGGGGAATGAACAGAGTGTGATTCTTCACAGTGGTTAGGAGCACCCTACTTGCAATTACAGGCCTGGTTTTGAATTCCAGCATTGCCACTTTTTATCTGTGTAATCTTGAACAAGGCGTTTGACCATTTTTCACTCCAACTCATTCCTTAAATGTGGTAAATAATACCTACCTCATCAAATAGTTATAGCGCTTAAGTTAAACAACACTTGTAAAAGGCCCAGCCATATGCTAAGTGTGCAGAATCCCTTGATAAGTAGAAATCCCACCAATGATTCCTACTTCCTGTTTCACTCCTTAAGGAAATCCAACCTCCAGATGCAGAACTTCCTGCTGCTTAAATGAGTGCTGTGAGTCGAGTAGTAATCAATAATTCTTTTGGATCGCATTGTATTCATTACAAATGAGCATTTAGTGAAGTCCCACTCAAGTTGTAGACGTTTTTAGGAATACACGTGATTCATACAGCTTGTGCTCTTGGTTGTATGGAACACGAGATATAATCTCAGTCAATGAAATCAGAACCTTTTAGATGTGTTCCACAGAACTGATGAGTTGTCAGTGGATTTTTTTTTTTTAATGGCAAACGTCGCCTACACTGTCTTCATTAAGTCCTGCAATGGATAAATGTATAGGGATGTAGTCTGTAATGCTTTATCAGTTGAGTCTTTTAACTTTTGTCTATAACTGTAGAGACAAACCAAATGACCTGGTGGCTAAGGTTATAGACTTTAGAGTAGGGCAGCCTAGACCTAGTCGGGCAATGTGGAACTGTGATTCTAGTTAGTGACTCCTTCTTACTCTCACTATGACTCTTTCTTACTAGTTAATGGACAAATGATAATCTCTCTGAGCTTCAGTTTTCTAATCAGGAGAATGACAATAATGATAATTCTTTTCTAAAAATGAAATGATGGCACCTAAATGGAATAATACGTATAAAGCATTCACCAGGTTCCTGGAACCCAGTAAATGTTCAACAGATAATCCTGCTTCTCTTCTTCCTCCCTCCTCTGTCTTCCCCACCCCTCTCTCATCTTTTTGCTATTCTTATTTTCTCCACTTATCTTTTAGAAAAGGAGAAAACTAGAGAGGCAGACTTCAAGAAAGATGTCTTTGTTTCTGGCTTTGTTTTGATTGCTGTGATTTTATGACATGGACCATAGATGTTGACCCTTACGGCTTACCAACATTAATTTTTATTTTCTCATTGTTTCTCTGCAGGAAGGATCAGAATGTTCTTTCTCCAGTCAACTGCTGGAATCTCCTCTTAAACCAGGTGAAGCGGGAGAGCAGGGATCACACTACCCTGAGTGACATCTACCTGAATAATATCATTCCTCGATTTGTCCAAGTCAGCGAGGACTCAGGAAGACTCTTTAAAAAGGTAGATATTCTAAGTCATAGGGGTTCTTGGGTGGAACAATGACACTATTTTGTAAGTAAGAGAAAGGTTAACTCATAGGCTTTCCACTAGTGATTCCCTACCATGTACTTGGAGAAAACAATTATTTGAATTGACATTTTTTCTTCTTTCCTGAACTGAATTAATAGTAGCTCTTGGGAAGTAAATATGTCCAAATTACAACTCAAGGACTGACACCATAATTCATAATCTGCATATATTAATAAGTGACTTTTGGGAAGTTTTCTTCAAGTGATTTGGAAAGCAACTGAGATTCAGGGATTTTCAGTATCACTTCAGCTTTCTTCTTCAAATTAGTTTAGCAAATTCATACATGCTTATGTTTTCAGCTTAGTTCTCTTTCCAAGTCTCATCTTGGCTAAGGCAGACTCATAAATTTGGTGATTCTTATCATTACACATCTTTGTCTTTGGGTTTCTGAATGTTTCCTGAAGCTAATTTGTTACCACAGTTCTTTGGTGTAGGTTGAGCTGTTTGACCTAGGAAAAATTCAAAATACAGTCATCCCTCAGGGGTTCCAACATCGTCTGTGGATACCCAAACCCATGGATGCTTAAGGCCCTTGTATAAAGTAGTGTAGGATTTACATATAACCTATCTACATCTCCCAGTTGCTTTTTATTTATTTTATTTATTTATTTTTTAATTTCCCTATAGGTATATGTGCTCACTGGAAAGTGAGAAAGAAAGTGAGAAATCAACCCCCAGGGGGAATGGCCATGCTGCAATCCCTTCTCCTTTATTTCTCTTTTTCAGAATTTTGGGTATGCACACACATTCTCCCAACATGATTTTCAAATGGCCAAGTCCAGGACTCAAACTGCCCCGTCGGCCATTTGGGATCCAGTGGCCTTAACCGCCATCCCTTGACTGGTTGGCCCCAGGATACTTTAAATCATCCCTAAGTTACTTTAATACTTACGTAAAATTTATATATATATATATATATGTGTGTGTGTGTGTGTGTGTGTGTGTGTGTGTGTGTGTGTGTAAATATATAAAATATTATATTTCAGGGCAATATAAATGCTGTGTAAATAGTTGTTATACTGTATCATTTAGAGAATAATGATAAGAAAAAAGTCTGTACATGTTCAGTACAGATGCAATGGATTTTTTTTTCCTGAATATTTTTGGCTGAATCCACGAACCCATGGATATAGAGGACTAACTATAATTGTCTTATAATCTTAAGGAATTTCTACCAAATTTACCTTATTTTTTAATGGTGAAACCTGCCATTTGGAAACCCAGGAACCTCTTTTTCTAAGCTCTATCCACTTGAGCTCTCAGTGGAATTGTTTTTTTGTGAAGTTAGTTACAGACAGAGGCAAAGGCTGAAATTATGCATGATATGCCACATCTAACATTCAAGCTATGACGTCCCCAGGCAACTTTTCAGAAGGTTATGGGTAGAAATAATATACATAGAAAGGGCTATTTAGAATTCATCAGTTTCCAATTGACAAAACTCAGTATTAAGTTTTAAGGCTTGGGAGAGAAAAGACTTCAGTAAAAAGGATGATGGGAAGCAAGCCAGGCTATGAAGGAGAGATATTGTATGTTTCCACTTTATATATACCGAGTGTCCACACTCTGTGACCGAAACTGAATGACTAAAGGATATAAAAACACAGTAAATGGTTGTGAAGACCAGATACAGTGTGGGAAGAGGGTGGGTGAAGGAGTAGAGTCTGAGGAAGGACATTAAGGAGAAAAATAGAGAGACATAGCATTAATGAGACAAAGAAATGGGGTATTATCTGTTGAAGATAACTTTATAGTATTATCAACTGGATTGGTGAGAAATGTACACATGTTGGAATATTTACTTTGCAAGCTAAATAATGTGATTGGATGTATAACAACTTGAAATAAAATAATAGTAATAATAATAATAATAATAATAATAAAATAACATACAACCATACAGATTGATGAAAAACCCACCTGAAAATGTCTCGAGTGAGCATAGTTTAAGAGAAGAATCATCCGAAATGACTGAAGAACTAGAATTTCAGGTTTTCTTTTTTTTTGAGAGATTTTCACTGTAGGGCGCGTGCGCTCACCAGACAGACAGAGAGAGACATAGAGACAGAAAGCGAGAAATCACCCCCCAGGGGGGGATGGTCACGCCGCAATCCCTTCTCCTCTATTCTCCTCTCAGGATCTTGGGCACGCACGCACACGCGCCCAGCGTGAGTTTTAAGCCACCGGGTCCGGGACACGAACCGCGGTCGACTACGTGGGAATCCAGCGACATAGCCATTACGCTAACTGCTGGTTCCCTAGAATTTCAGGTTTTCTTCAAAAAATGGATATAAGCCTAGTGAACACAGCTACTAATTGAGCATTTTAATATTCCTCAGAGACTAAATTTCTAGTGTACTTATCACATAAATATTCATTATTTGTGGTAAGGGCCATGCTAATTAACTTAATCACTCACATTGTATTAAAAATAATACATTACTTTGTGCATATAAATATGTACAGTTATAACTTTTCAATTAAAAAAAGGAAAAAAAAGGATGGTAGTCAGTATAGTCACAGCTCTGGGTCAGTTTTACAACTTTTTTTAAGCATGTATCTATCTATCTGTCTTTCTATCTATCTATCCATGAACCTATGATTGTGATTTTCAAGCCACGAGGTCTGGCCCTCAAACTGTGGTTAACCATGTGGGAATCCAGCACCTTAACCACCACTCCAGCTTCTGGCCCACTGTTTTCAATTCTTGATGTTAGGCAGTTTTCCAGATTTCAGTAGGCCTGGAGTTATTACCCAATTCTTTCTGCTTTTACGAACCTGATAAAAGAACTGAGTTAGAGTCTTCTGTCTCTATATGTGCATCCATGAAGGGGCTTTCCCTGTGTCTTAGAGACAGACTATAATCATCTGACAAAACAAAAAGAAGGAAGAGAAAGAGAACTCCTCCCAGAGCTCACTGGCTATTTTTGGTGACCAGACTGTGCTGTGTTTAGGACCACATTTCATTTGAGGGTGAAGGTGCTTTTTACCATTTTCTCCACAGTTTCTAACATCTGTGCTAGCTTGCTTGTCATTAATTTGAATTATTCTGCAATACTTGGTGAGTGTGTGTGATCAAATTAAAACCTCTTTGGGTAAAATCTTGAAATAATTGAGTACCGCATCTTCTCTGTGACATTGGTAACCACTTAGATTAACCCAAGAAGGAAAGAGGTTGACTGGTGGTCTTCTTCTCCATTTTCTCTGTTCATCTGAGGAAAAAACAAACCTTGTGAGTAATGTTCATTTGCCTAGATCTCACCCAATCGCTCAGTTCCTTTTTCTCCCAGCTTTTAGAATGTTAGAGGAGAACTAAGCTGAGAGTCTTACAGCTTCTCCCAATCTCAGAGACCTTTCTGTTCGTATCAGCCAGATATCAAAGCCATGAGTGTTCCTGATTCCTCAAGTGCCCCATCACATTTTATATGCTTTCCATGTACCTGGCACGTATGCAGGGCATGGAAACATAAGACCTTCGGAAGGAAAATCCACCTGCGAATGATACTCCTAGCCACGGTCTCAGGGTTGACCTCCTTAAGCCATGCATTTCTATGCTGGGGATCTTATTTCTCATAGGACTGTTGATTTATTACATCTTATGGAAGAAAAGCCCCCAAGGATAACAATTATCCTGACTTTTAAGTGCAGAGATTAGTTTTGTTTTGCTTAATACTTATAGAAAGAGAGTCAGGTAGTACGTACTCTTCTGTGTCTCGTTTGTCTCATTCATCATTATGTTGGTGCGATCTCTACATACTGTTGTTTATAGTCACAGATCATAGGACCTTTTCTTGATCTTTGTAACTGTGCATCAGTGAAACTCTAATTAATTAGAGACCTTCATAGGATGGTTGAGTGGCCAATATTTACTATCTACAGGGTGAGTAATCTCTTTGTTCTCTCCCTTGGGGCCCCCATGTTGGCAGAGAACTCCAAGGTAGAAGCTGGCTGGCAGATCATAAGAGTAGATTTATTCTTTTGGACTGGGCAAGAGGGTCTCTGCTTTCTGGTAATGAGCAAAGATACAAGTTTTTGGTCTCTTTCATTCAGAGGGTGTTTCCCATAAAGAATTAGAATCCCAGTGGCTAAGATACAGTAATCAGATAAGAGCCCAGAGGACATTTCTGGTTGCCTGTCAGTTATGGTTGCTTCCAGGAGCTTGGCTTGTACAGTTAGATCAGAGACCTTTTCCAGATAACCCTTTCTCTTGGGCCTAGGTCTACAATTGAGACCTTGGACAGTTACTTCTTACTGTGCCTCAATTTCCTTAATTAAGTAAAAGATTTTGGGTTATATGATCTTCATGGTGCCTTCTAAATCCAATATACTTTAATTCTGTGATGACAAGGGTATCTCCTACAGTAGGGGCTAGCTTCTGGATGCTGAGTAATGTTTGTTAAATTGTAATAGGGCTCCAACCCTGCAGCCCAGTGGTTAAAGAAGACTGATTCTTCTTCCTTTTTTTTTTTTTTTTTTTTTTGAGGCCTTTTTGCTATAGGGCATGCATTTTCCAGAAAGACAAAGAGAGACAGAAAGCGAAAAATCACACCACCACCACCACCACCACCCCAGTGGGGATGACCACGCTGCAATGTCTTCTCCATTCTCCTCTTAAGATCTTGGGCATGCACACACACGTGCCTGGCGAGAGTTTAAGCCACTGAGTCCAGGACTCAAACCACAGTAGACTACATGGGAGTCCAGCAACATAGCCATTACACCAACTGCTGGTCCCAAGGAAGACAGATTCTATGTGGCCAAACATGGTTTGCATTCTGGCCTCTGTTGCTTGATAAACATGCTGGGTGTTTGTGTGTGTGCGTGCCCCAAATCCCTACAGGATGGAGAAATGGAGGAGAAAAAAATTGCATGACTGTCCTCTACTGTGGGGTGTTTTCTCCCTCTTTCTGTCTCTCTGGCTAACACATACA